CAGGCATGCCGCCTCAGGCCAGCGTTGCAGCGGCGAATGGACTTACACCGCGGCCCCAAAGGAAGGTTGCGAGAGGGCATCGCACCGGGATTCGGCGTCGATAGCAGGACGCGGCTGGCCTCAATCTGCCTGACCGCATGCTTGCGCTAGCCCATCTGTTTTCTACGCGCCAATATCACATTGCTGGCACCCTGGAGACTAGACTGCGTCGCAGTGATTGGACGCCAGCAGGAGATTTCATAGTTCTCACCGCAGCCGCTGAAGCTAGAGGCAAGGATGGAGCGGCTCTTTGGATCAACACGCAGCACGAGCACGCGCATGGACGCACGCTGGCACGCAGACACGCACGCGCGATCAGCTCGCCATGGCACAAATTAGCAGCATTACGCGCGTCGGGCATGCGCATTGACGCGCTGGTTGGACACGCGCCACACTCACGACGACCGCCTGCTGAAATACAGAGCTGGTGGAGCAGCATGGCCACGCATCTCAGCAGTCGTTCTCAGCCAGCACCGCTGCACTGCCTTCTGGATACCCACGCGACCCTAGGGTCACAGGCGCCAGAACACGTGGGAGGCGTGGCGCCATAGGCTGAGAATGAGAGCAGGCAGTGTTTCCACCAGCTCATGCGGCCCATTACACGGGACCTGGCTACCCCCTGGAGGCCACGGGCAGGATCCTAGGCACCGAATTGATTACAGCACGGCCCCCCTGGGCCAACTGCCACATGCGACGAAACAGGGGGTGGGCATCGACCTTGACTTGTCGATGAGATGTGACGACCATTTCGGTTTCACCCGACATGTATGCGCGCCATACAGAACAGCACGAGCCAGCAGTCACTTGGACGAGGTCCCGACATGATGTCACAAGACACGAGGACCCTGACTGTCTGCAGAAGTTTGAAACAGAGTTGCACAGGGTGCCTCTTCCCCCTTTTTCAACCCATCCTGACGACCACGCTGAGATGAAATGCTCACATTTTGAGAGCGGCTGAGCTTACCTTGCCGCCCAAAATGTCGGAGAGTGGTTGTCAGCCACGCAGCAATTGGATTTCCCAGGGCTCTCTCAACCTCATGGATCAGCGAATGCACGGACGACGAGCGTCACGGGCCCTACGGGCCCGTGAGCTACTATCTCGGGCATCTCACTCGCCAGAGCTTGCCCGACAGGCCGCGTCGCCGCAGCGTCGACGCCCCCGATGCGCTGCCTGCGCCGTCCACGACAAGAAAACTGTCCTCAGTCCGCCTCGGGCTGTGACTGCGACTGTGCCTCTGGCGACGGGTGGCCAGTCCAGCCGCGTGCTGCTCATCTGCCTCCGCAGCGACTTCAGCACGACCGACGGGCGTCGGTGGGGCAGTACCTCGACCGGCCCTGCCCTGCCTGCAGCTCCGCGATGGCGGCGACAGGCGGCGCCTGGTCTGGAGGCGTGCCAGGGTCTGCGCCTGTCGCCGGCGGCGTAGGCGCAGCTGCTGCAGACTCCATGTTCGCGTCGGCGTACGACTGGGGTCTCATGGTCTCGAGCTGGTCCAGCAACGTCTTGGCACGACTGAGTGCATGCTCGCGCTGCAGCACCTTGGCCTCCTTCTCCTCCATAATGGTACGGGCTAGGTCAGCTGCAGCATGGTCCTTGTCAAGCTGCACCTGGGCACGCTGTGCGAACGCTCTTTGTCTGTCACACCTCGCTCCTGGGGCCCGAACTGAAATCATCATGCGCGGCTGGGCCGCATGCTGCTCCTCCTGTGGGCGCATCTGCTCGACTGACATGCCGGGTTCCTTGGCCGCCTTCAGACGCTTGCCCGTGGCGGCGGCCATGTGTCTCAACGATATCCTGTGGGCCGCCAACTCTCGCTCATCTCGGGGAGGCTCCACTCACGCTGGGTGGGGCTGCTCGTCCAGCGGGAGCGCGGGCCAAATGCCCAGGGCTGGACTGCGCAACTCGTCCTCCGTCTCCGAAGCGTGGCCTCCGTCGGACTCCGCGTCAGCGAACCTCACGCGGGAGCTGGATCTCGGCCTTGGCTCACTCGTCTGGCGGCTGCGTCGACGGCGAATCACTGATCTTGGACGGTCCTTCTTCTGTCGAGAATCGTGATCACTGCCGTCATCTCTATGTGCTGGGAGACTGCTAGGGAGCGGCATGCACGTCCGACTCAGAAGATCAGCAAGACCGTTCGGCGCCCCGCACGTCTGGCACCACCATCCTGGTGGCGGCGGTGGCACATGCCATGGAGCTCGCCCTCTTGCAGCTCCTGCGGCACGCCCTTTGCCTCTGTGTCCGTGTCCTCCAGATGGCCCAACACCGCCTTTGCCGCCACCAGCGCTCCTCCCACTCATGGGACCTGCGCTGTGATGCTCGCGCACCCTCGCCGCGGCAGCGACCACGCGCAGCAGGGTGCGCGACTGCGTGCGCCGCTCGCGAGCTCGCCTGTGCCAGGCTGGCTCGCGCGCCGTGGGCGCCCTCACAGGGCGGCGCACGCCGCGTCAGCAGCACGGCTGGCCCGCACGCCCATGGCACGCCACAGCGCGGGCTGGCACGTCTGACCGCCGTGCCCCGAGGAGGCTCGCAGCGCGTGGTACGGGGTACCAGGGCGCTGCACCCAAAGCCTCGAGCCGGGACGGCGGCTGGGCAGAAGGGGAGAGGAGGGAGGGGAATTTCGTGGCGGGTGAATTTTTCTTGGGCGACTTTTGGTGCGAGATGAACTTAGGGGTAGATGGGAGATATGGGGATTGGGAGGAATGGGGTAGAAACTGGGGTATGGTGGGGGAGTGGGCGGTGGGGGGACCAGCTGGTAGGAAGGGGGTGCTGGGAGATGGAGGGCAGGGAGGAATAGGGTGAAAGCAACTCAGGGCTTGGAAATGGAGGCTAATCACGTGACAGAAAGAAGGGGGGATTGGGAGGATGCGACAGACGAAAGGCAATGATGCGGCTGCGGTCAAGTTCCCGAAAGGGGAGCCGCAAACCATCTCATCCACTCACGTCCACCCTCTTGGCACAAAAGTCGCACGGATCGTCGTGGGCAGCGATCACCATCCCATAGACAGTCATGGATAACCAGTAGGGCGTGAAGCGCGCCAAGTCTGTCAAGCCCACCTGGTGCACGTGCGTCAGAATCGTGCTCCCGCCGAACCCTGGCAAAGATCGGCAGAGACTCAGTGTCCAACACGCACTGTTTACTGCGATGGCCACTGCTTGTACCATCGTTCAGTCTGACTTGCTTTTTTGGCAGAAAGGTGGTGGGGCTTAAGTCTTGTCGGCGGTCAAACGAGTGGGGCGGAGAGCGTGTCTGTCAATCAAGTGTACAGATGGGTGACATGATGTGGGTGAGAGCGGAGAAACATAACCGGACATCCGACGTTTTTTTGGGGGGGTTTGTTCGCAACGTGGCTTCCCAAAGGTCTGGGTCCCTACCTGGTGACCAATTTGTATTCTGACAAATTTTCTAACGGTCCTGGGGACCGGCCGGGGCCCTCGAAGGCCGAACACAACCCAAAATCTCCAGTCGTGATTTTTCACGACGCGATGATGTCAGGGAAGGGAAGCGTGATAGGGGTGGAGGGAGAACCTGCGGAGTGAGGAAGAAGACTTTTGAGCAGGCTCCTTGGCCGGCTGGTCGCCCTGAAGGGCCAGCCGGCCAAAGAACAGCTACTCGTAGGCCCCCGGACAGCCAAGATGGCCAACACATCAGCTGATGTCAATTTGTTTTGGCATCTGGAGGGCAAGCGCGCCAAGGAGCAACCAAGCAGACCCCCTAGAGGCCAGCAGACGACCAAGACGGCCAAGAATCAACCGATCTCGGTGCTGCTTTTTGTCAGGCCTCTGGAGGGCCACCCGGCCGAGGAGCAGCCAAAACGGACCCCCAGGGGCTCCCAGACAGCCAAGGCGGCCCATGATGAGCAGAGCTGTTCGTTTTGTGTTTTGTTGGGCTTCCACAAGGCCTGCTTGGCTGTTGTGGCTCTCAGGGTGGCAAGCCGACTGCGGCCCGAAGGAGCTCCCGGACCGCCGACGCCGTGACCCGTCCATCCCGCGGGCCCCCGAACCTGGCGGACGAGGCCCGCGCCTTCCACGAAGCTGTGGTGCTTCTGAGACGCCTTCCCCCCTCCCCCCATCCCCCTCTGCGCGTGGTCGAATGACCCATCCATCCCGCGGGCAGCCGAACTCCCGAACCCCTTCCCCGGGACCGCTTCTTCGCCGCGGACCCCTTCCCCTGACGGCCTCGGAGGCCGAGATCCTTGGGACACACAGCGCCGGGACGGCACGCGTGGCCCACTCCGGAGGCCCTGGGCCCCGGGGGAAGCGGCCCCCCCCTGGGCCTCCCGGGTGGGGCAGCGCTGGCTTCCCCCGGCCCTGCGCCGGGCAGAGCCGACCAGGCGCCCGCCGTCCGCCGAGGAGAGGCTGCCAGCGCCTCGGGCCCTCGAGGGCCCAGCCCTGCCTGGAGCGCCCCGCACCCACGAGGGCGGAGCCAGGGGCCCCCTCAAACGCCACCCGTGGACCTCGCCCACGGTCGGGGGTTGCTGAGGGTGCCCCTGGCCCAAGGTGCCCCCAGCTTTCCGCTCCGTTCTGGAGCCCCTCAGGCCCTCTTGGGCCTCGTGATGGGGTGCTCTGGAGGCCGTGGGGGTCTTCTCTGGAATCCTGGGGGCACCTTGGGCCAGGGGCACGTCTGGCAACACCCGACACGGGAGCGCTGTGACCAGAACCTCGGGGGGCAATCCCGGCCGTGGCGGCGAGGACCCCCTGGAAGGCTGAAACACGCACCAAAACCTGCGTCGTCCCCAGACATCCGACGTCGGGATCTTTTCGCAACGTGGCTTCCCAGAGGTGTGGACCTTTTCCCGGGGACCAAACTTTCTTCCCGCATCGTTTCCTGACGGTCCCGAGGCCCGGCAAGGGCTCCCCAGGGGCCGAAACCGACCGAAAAACTCCCGTTGTCGTGACTCTCTCGGGGCGCGACGATCCTCGGTCCTCGAGCGTGCCAGATTCTCTTCCATAAGCTGGTCTCCGCCTTCGGCGCGGCCCTCGGCGCCGCGGCCTTCGGCGTGGCCGCCGGTGCCGCCGCGCCTTCGGCGTGCCCTGAGATCTGACGTTGCGAAGAGGTTGCGACATCGCGAAAAATCGCGACCATAGCCCTCGGCCACATCTTCCTGCGCCCTTTTTCGGGTCGCACCGACCTGCGAGGGTCCCGGGGCCCGAAGCAAGGCCACATCCTCCGCTGTGCAAAATTTGCAGCGCCAAGATCTGAGGGTGGCCTTCGGCGTGGCCTTCGGCACCAACCGTCGGCGCGCCCTTCGGCGCTGCGGCTTTCGGCGCCGCGGCCTTCGGCGCCGCGGCCTTCGGCGCCGCGGCCTTCGGCGCGGCCGCCAGCGCCGGCGCGCTGCCAGCAGGGGCGCCGAGCGTGAGCGCGCCGGCCGCCTCGTGGGGTCGTGGACTCGTGCCGCTCGTGGCGCCGCGTGGGCGACATCGGCAGGCTTGCTGCGAAGGGCCAAGGAAACGCTCGGACCTCGAAAGTGGGGCCCGCACCGAATCAAGACAACATGGATGCAGCTCCTACGATGCACATCAGTCCCACGGACCTTCTGCTAAAAAATCAATGGGGGTTAGCGCTGGTCACCGCTCGTGTGTTGAGCACAAATAACTACTCAGACATTGTGACCGTGGCGACGGGTGGCCGCGTGCCCAAAGGACTGGTTCAATCAGCAAAGTGTGGCGCGTCGGAGCGCGGATGCTGAAACAACAGACTGTCGACTTTGACTCGCCCGCGTGGCTGCGACCCCGAGGGGTCGGTCGACATCGGAGGGGGAAGACGGCTCGAGTCGGAGCGTGCGTCGGCAAAGAGTCGCGCCCTGAGAACCTGGCGGGGCAATTTGTTCGCAGCGGGCCATTTTGCCTTGTTTTGGGCTCCGGACCCCCACGGATTGATCCAGCTCGAAACATGCATCAGACAGGTGGGGTCCAGGGATCCGGTCATGATTTTTGCGATGTTGTAATTTTTTGGTGATGTCGGATCGGGCTGCATCGGCACGGATTCGAGCTCGAACCGGATTGGCTGCACCAGCGCGCACACCAACGCCATGCAGACATCGGCCCGCATCGGTTCGTCGAATTCTCTGAGTCGAATCGGACCGAGCCGGCCGAAGTCGATAAATCACATCGGAGCAAGAAGGGCCCCCGACCCTGCCCCCCCGGCTGCACGCCAGAGTGGCCCCAGGCGAGGGTGGCCTTTGGTGCGCGGCTTGCCGATCGTTGCGTGCGGTGCGACAGCAGCGGCCCGCTTGCTTGGGCTTGGCGCCCCAGCGCCCCCCGGAAAGCCGTGCACCAAAGGCCACCCCAGCGAATGGTCACTCTTACGTGTGGCCGGCTCCCTGCCTCGATGTTCGAAGATCGAGATTCGACCTGTTTGGGTGTTTTCCAACACCTCCTCCGTCCCTCCCTCCCTCCCTCCTCCTCCCCTGAATCTAGGCCTTCCCCTGCTCCTTCCCCTCCTCGTCTTCCTTCTCTTTTTCTTCTTCTTCTTCTTCTTCCTCCCCCTCCCCCTCCTCCTCCTCCTCCTCCTCCTCCTCCTCCTCCTCCTCCTTCAAGCTCGCCCTCCACATCATAAGCCTGGCCCGAAGAGGGTGCGGATGAGGACGAGGACGAGGACGAGGATGATGATGATGATGATGATGATGATGATGATGATGAGGAGGAGGAGGAGGAGGAGGAGGAGGAGGCGGATGAGGGAGAGGAATGGATGCCATCACAAGGTGAGATCAAAACTACGTTAAAAACCTCCAAGCTCGCGAGCGAGTGCCCCTGACCCGAGCAGAGAGGAAAGCTTCTGCTCGTAAAAGACCCTAGAGAGCTCGAGAAACTTTCGCCGACTCTCCCGCGCGAAGCGAAACCCCAATGATTTGCCAGAGCTAAAACGAGAGATCTGCCCACGATAAAAAAAGAGGACACCGCAGAGCGTTGGCCTTCGTCCAGAGACGAGGGCATTGACCTTACGTAGAGGCACACATACGACCAACAGCTTGATTTGGAGAGTCCTAGCAAATATGAATGTGCACAACCGCTGCCGTGTGGCACACGCGAGGCAGCAAAGCTGCCATGGCGTGGGACTAAGAAACCAGAGGACAGGCAAGGACAACCGCGGCCAAGCTGGCGCGGAATACGAGATAGAGAGAGAGAGAGAGATGCAAGACTGACCAGAATGCGAGATAACAACGCTACATGTCTTGCACCTCCCGATCTTCACACTGATTCGGGAGTGCACGTGGGTACCTGGCTGCTCTGGCGGAGAATCGTCGAATCCACCTGCGCTGCTGGTAGACTACCGAGTCCATGACCAAATATTGCTTGCAAATGAGCCCGCGGCCCCCGCGGCACATCGTCTTCCCGCGTCACAAACCTTCCCACGTGTGAGTGCTGCGCGTTTTGCACGTGGGGTGCTACTGGGGATCCATGTCTCCGCAGCAACTGGCGTGCGCACCTTGAAAACGCCCGTTCTTGCCGCACGCAACTGGCCACCGTCTCCATTCGCAAATTGGTGCAAGCTGGCGGGTCACAGTTCGAGAAGTCGGACTCCAGCACAGCGGCGCTGGGCTCGGGCTTGCGCCGCTTCTCAGGCAGGTTGGCCTGCACACGGTCGGGCGCATATGTTTCGAAGGGCGCGCTTCCTGCTGCCTGTTGGCCCGTCAGACGTGCTTTGAGTTCGTTGGCACGCGACCGTTGCCGTGGCGAGCGCGGCGAACTTGGAGAAGATCCAAGATCGACGGGGCGACTGACTTGACGTGTGCACCGTAGGGGGGGTCTAGAATGCAACTGGCGAGAGTGACTGTCGCGCTCGCGTTGCTGATCTAACCTACGCGCCGTGGCCGCTTGCTCGATAAACTTTGAACGTGGCACAAACAAGAGAGGACGGTTCCGCCTCTCCGCTAAAAAGACACCTGACGGCACTGACTGCGGAGGTGGCGACGCTGGGGTGGGGCTGGCGTCACTGTAACTATCGCTGTCGCCGTCCTGTGACGAAGCGGCTGGAGAACTGACTGGGAACTACCCTGGACCCTGCTCGCTGGGGCTGGCGGGACCTGCGCTGGGTACGACACCGCGGCGGGCTGGCCAATCCCACTGGCTGAACACATCTTGGGTACAAAGTGGCTGCTAAACGTCGCCAGCCGTACTATCGAAGAGGTAAGGTTGCCTGCTCGCGCGCATGGCGGGCGGCCCAGGGGACCCCATCCAAAAGGCGAGGCGGCTCCCTGAAAATGACTACATTGTCCAGGGAAATCATGTGTTGCGCGGTAGGGCCTACTCAGTCCCTCAGGCCCCCCGGGGGTGGGCGCAAGAAGTCGGATATACCGACGAAATTCTGTAACATGTCGGGGCCGACGTTTCTAGCAACTGCCTGGCATATTATGACTCGGCCTGTAGCGCCGTGACGGGTACATGGTAACCCAATCCAATTAGAAGCTCGTTGTGGCACCGCAGCTAGATTACAAAGCACAGTGGTTGCAACTGTTTCAACCGCTCGCGCTGGACTGTTATCTCGTCTATTGGGGTCGTCGCCTCCAAAGCCTCTTTTTGAACTGGCTGATCTGAGAACGGCTCTCTGCGACGCCTGTTGGATTGTCCTCGACGTAGCTGCCGTGCGGTGCTCCCAGACTCCTTTGACTTACCCACCTTCTTGTGGCCGTGCTTGGAAGCTCCTGCAACCTTGGCATGATTCTTCGCAAAAGGTGGGAGCACTATGGGGACCTTGATGATGGTACAAAGCACCTGCATGAAGAGAACTTGGCCCAACAATTTCCGGTCCAAGTTCCCACTACGGACATCAGGGGTGTCAGTGGCAGGCCTCACCATGAAAATCGTCACCAGAAGACTGGCGTATATCACCTTGCTGAAGAAAATGCGCGACTCTAGAATGATACCGTCAGGGAAGAAGGCGTCAGCCGAGAATGCGGGAACTTGTGGAGGCAATGCAGACGATGATGCGCTGGGCGGTGAGGCCCCTAGTCGTTCGTAACAAAGACGTGTCTCCCCGCCCGAAATTGCTCCGAATCGTTCCACTTGCTCCGTGAAGGATATGATGAAAGGCACGCAAACTAGCTGCGACTCTGTCCGGAATGGCGCGGGCGCAATGGACTGCTGAAGTCGTTCGAGAGCATGACGGGCGCGAAAGAGACGTCCTCCTACATAGGCCTTGGTAGCGGCCCAACTGACCAACTGGACCACGAACAAATCCCGCACGCAACCAATGTCCGCTGAGTGCCGGCGAATCTCCCGTCCAAGCCCCAAGCTGACTCGGCGAAATACGGGTTGGGAAGCCCACCGTTCCCAAAGTTGAATGCGGCCGCTGCGTTGTCGAAGATGTTATGGAACTGCCCGCCTTCGTTGTCCGAGATCTGTCCCTGCTCGACGCGGCGAGAACATCGATCTTGAAAGTCAATGCCGACGTGCCTAAAATGCATCTTGCTCCCAAGCCAGGCCCTGCTGGAGAGCGTCGACGGACCTGGAATGTGCTGACGGAGGACGGCGGGTAGGCGACCGAGGACGACGAGCCCGAAGACGATGAAACCGTCCACATTGCCCTGGTGCCTTGTACTCCTCCTCCGGGAGGAGGAGGGGGAGGAGGAGGAAGGAAGAGGAGGAGGAGGAGGAGGAGGGGGAGGAGGAGAAGTGGGAGGAGGAGGAGGAGTATGAGGAGGAGGAAGAGGAGGAGGAGGAGGAGAGGACGGGGAGGAGGAGGAAGAGACACCTGGCCGTGGTGTCGCCATTCATGAAGAAAGACACGCCTTGTCATCAACGCGCAACCGCGGCCGCGTGGCCCTCAGCCCGTGAGGACACTAAGGCGAACCACCTCTGCATCTAGCCTGCAAGGTCGATCAAGCAAAGATCACGGCACGGGTGTCACTCAAGCACTGCGCGGAGCTGAGCCGTTCCGCCTTTTGCTGCAATGGCTCGAAGTGAAATGGCTTGAATGCGGAGGAGCAGGAGGAGGAAGGGGAGGGGGAGGAGGGAGGAGGAAAAGGAGGAGGAGCGAGGAGGAAGAGGAGGAGGTGGATGAGGAGGAGGACGGGGGGGATGAGGAGGAGGAAGGAGGAGGGGGAGGAGGAGGAGGAAGAGGAGGAGGAGGAGGAGGAGGAGGGGGAGGAGGAGAAGGAGGTGGAGGAGGAGGAGTATGAGGAGGAGGAAGAGGAGGAGGAGGAGAGGACGGGGAGGAGGAGGAAGAGGAGGAGGGGGAGGAGGAGGACGAGGAGAGGGGGGAGGAGGAGGAGGATGAAGACGATGAGGAGGAGGAGGGGGAGGAGGAGGAGGAAGAGGACCAACGTAAACCCAAGACGCACTAACGGTGTTGCAATACACCCTCCCTCCAAGCTCCCTCTTCATAGGCCCCTACAAGGAAGCAACCATTTCCACTGAGGCAAGTGCCCCGTTGGGAGACGACCGTTTGAAGACCTGTAAGCGTGCCAACACACCATCGCAACGAATCAACCTGACTGTTGCGTATTGACGATCCTGAACCATGCCAGAACACCATTCGTGTGACTTCAGCACCGCGAATCAACCTAACTGTTGCGCCCTGGAAATCCTGAATGGTGCCGAACCACTTTCCCAGATACGCCAACCAAAGGGATTCGTGACACTCATGCAAATGTTTAAAACGAATGTGCGCGGCGCTATGACGAAAACCACATTCTGACAGAGCTGCCCTCTAAGTGTGAAGCTCTTGCATTTTTCAACGAATGTGCGCGGCGCTAAGGCGAGAGCTGCAATTTGAAGAGGAGCCGCCTCCAATCCGCAAAACTCGTGCATCTTTCTGAAACGAGGGTGCGCGATGCTGAAGCGAGAGCCACGTAGTGAAAACCACTCGCCCTCCATCCGTGCACCTCTTGCAATTTTCTCAATCAGTGTGCGCGGCGCCAAAACGAGAGCCACATTCAGCAACGACCGAGCCTCCATCCGTGGAGCTGCTGCCAACCTCTGGGTTTTATGATGATGAATGGAAGGACATCTCAAGCGAAACGCCCGGCCCGCCCTTCCGACTGGCGTTGGGGTGCGACAGGGAGGAGTTAGCTATAACGAAGAGGAGCGGAGGAGGAAGAGGAAGACCACAAGGGGGGGGGGGGAGGAGAAATGTGACGATCAAGGAGGGACGGGACGAGTGGGGGAGGAGGGAGACAAGCATGAGGATGATCGAGGAGGATGAGGAGGAGGAGGGCCAAGCTCGCTATATGCCCAAAGGGTACCTAAGACCATCTCCAAAGATGAAACGGTCATCGGAGACTGTAAAGGTAAAACCGCTACCCCAACAAACTATATTTGGACGACAACGGGCCACATCCGTAAAGTAACGGATGCCGAAACCAAATGCGAGTGGCCGCGGTGAAAGAGGGGGAGGAGGAGGACAAGCAGGATGACGAGCGAGGAGGAGGGGGAGCAGGAGGAGAAAGATGAGGGGGAGGAGGAGGAGCGAGGAGGAGGAGGAGGAGGAGTGTAAACCCAAGGCCCATCAACGATGTTGCAGTAAACCCTCCCTCTAAGTTCCCTCTCATAGACTTCTATAGGGATATATTCTCATTCCGGGAAGAGCCACGTTGGAAGACAAGCGTCTGAAAATCGTCAACGAATCAGCGGTACTGTTGCGACCTGACGATTCCTACATCACACCATAACGCCATTTCAAGGACGTCAACACCGTGAATCAACGTGACTGTCGCGACCAGACAACCGCACATCGCGTCAAAATAACATGTCTGGGACGTCAACCATAAGATTCCCTGACATTGCTGTACATTGATAAGACGAGAATGCGCGGCACCAGGCGAGAACCACATTTTGAAAACGACCCGCCCTTCATCCGTGACATTCTCGCACACTTTTAACATGATGTGTGCGACGCGAAGACGGGGGCCACATTGTGAGAACGACCCGCCCTCCACCCGTAAAGCGCTTGCAAGCGTGTAACACGATGTGCGCACCGCTAAGGCGAGAACCACATTTTGAAAACGACCCGTGCTCCACCCGTGAAGCTGTCGCACATTCCACATTTCAGCATCATGCATGGTCAAGAAATCTCAAGCAAAACGCCTGGCCCGCCTTACTGATCCGTCTCTGGGTGCGGTGGGGAGGAGTTGTGCATAGGGGAAAGGGGTGGAGCGAGGAGGATTATGATGCGAAGGGCACGGCGCAACCAGAGACAACGACGACGGTGGTTTTGCATTGGATGAGCGGGTCCTGAGAAAAACGGGCTCTAGACCCCAAAACTCCACCCTTCGGGCCAATACTTCCACCCCGACTTGGGGCCCGTGGAGGTTTCGGGGGCCTGACGACGGAGGAAAGTCTCCAGGACCAATTTCCCTCAAGACCAATTTCCTTCATGCCGGCCCTGTAAGCCTACACCCCCAGACCTGTCCCGGGGGGCGTTCAGGCCAGGATCCCGAAGCGGCGCCAGACAATGGCGGCGAGGACGCACACAACAACTCCCCAAAATGCCTTCGAAACTTCACGGCGAGCGGCGGCGGCAACGACGGCAACGACCGCGTTCGCCGCCTTCAGCGGCGACGGCTGCGCCGCGGCGCGGCCCGCGGCCGCGGGCTTCGGCTTTGCCGCCGCCTCCCGCGGCTCCGCGCTCGGCCCCGCGCCGCGGTTCGCCGCCGCCGCCGCCGTCGCCGCCGACGCCGCTGCCCCCGCCCTCGCCGTCGCCGTCGCCGTCGCCGCCATCGTCGCCGTCGCCGTCGCCGTCGCCGTCGCCGTCGCCGTCGCCGTCGCCGTCGCCGTCGTCGTCGTCGTCGTCGTCGTCGTCGTCGTCGTAATCATTAACATTGAAGTTGTCGCCGACGGCGCCGTCATCGAAGACGGTCGGCCAAGGTCGGCCCTCCTTCCTCCTCCTCCTCCTCCTCCTCCTCCTCCCGCGCGAGGCACGATGCAGGCCTGGGCCGTTTGAGCGCTGCTCTTCCAAAGAAAACGGCGGAACATATCGTTTTGTAAGCAGCCACATAAAACATCTATGTGTATTCCACAACCAAAACAACCTTCTTCCATTCCGCTTACATGGGTCCCTTTATAATGCGCAAATTCATTTTGCGGCGGAATGCAACATGATTCCGTATGCTGCTGGATACAAAAGAAATCCCCTTGTGTCGGATTAGGAACACAAGCATATTCCGTTAGTGACCTAATACAAACGGATCCCCCATTGTGGCAGAATGCGCAAGATTTTCTTGTGTGGCTGAATGAGGAGGGGATCCTTCTTGTGGCGGCATACAGAAGGATTCCTCCTCAGGCAGACTACAACGGGATTCCATGTGTGAGCGGGAAACGCGGACAACAACCAACAAACACAAACATCAAAAAACAGACTATAATTTCGGAAAACATGTGGGGGTGGCCCAACAAGACTCGCCCGACATCATGTTTTGTTTCAGAAGCATTTTTATTGTAAGCGCCTTAAAACGAACATTCTTGTAATCCGTCACCAAATGCATCGCTTAGGAATCCATCGCGCAACATGTCCCTGGTATTCCGCCACACGAAAAGATTTCTCCAGCCGGCCCAAAGGGGAATCGTGACGTATTCTGCCACACCGGGAACCCTTGTGCATTCAGCTGTATAATGATTCACTTTGCATTCCGCCACATGAGGGTTCCCGTGGTAATCAAGCACATACTGTTTCCTGCTATATTCGGTCACAAGAGGAAACTCTGAGTAACCCGCTGCAGCAGGAATCCCTCAATATTCCGCCACAAGCGGAATCCTTTGGTAATCCGCCACAGCGGGAATCTTTTGTACTCCACAACAAGGGGAACCCTCTTGTATTCGGCCACATACGGGTTCCCTTTGAATTCCGCAACACATGGGATCCCTGGATAATCAACCACCTAAAGATTCCCCTTGTATTCTGCAACAAGAGGTCCGTGAGCAATCCACCACACAAGGAATCCGCTACTATCCCGCCACAAGAGGGAATCCTTAGTATCCTGCCACAGAACGAATTCCACCACACAAGTAATACTTTAGTAACCAACCACATCAATATTCCTCTTGTATTCATCCACCAAAAGACCCCCTGAGCAATCAACCACAACAATAATCACTTAGTAACCCGCCACTAAAAGAATTTTTTTTTGTAGTCGGCCACCCAGAAAATCTGGTTGTATCCCGCCATGAAAAAAAGCTTGTGGAACGCGTCCACAACATCATTCCTTTTGTACTCCGCCACAACCAATCCTTTGCTAATCCGCAATCAAATAAAATTTTCCATTTCGCCACGAGAAGAATGCTTTTGCATTTTGTCAGAACGGGAATGATTTTGCATCCCGCTGCAGCGGGATTATTTTTCCATCCCGCCGCGAAGAAATCAATTGTATTGCGAAACCTGTATTCCACAGATGACGGAATGAGCGTTTTACTTCCATAATTCGGTTTTCCGGTCGTGGTGGAAATACTCAAAGATTTACTTGATCAGAATGGAGCAGAGTTCTTTTGACTCGGATACACATGGATTCCGTGCGTGGAGGATTACAGAACAATGTCGTTCGTTGCTTCGTTGAAGCAAAGAAACACGCTCCAACCTCCTCCTCGTCCCCCTCCTCCTGGAGCCTCGTGGGCCCTACCAGGTCTGGGCCCCCCTCATGGGCCGCATGGCCCCCCGAGGCCTCTTGCAGTTTTCCTGGAGCTTCCCGTGGAGCAAACCTAGTCGCATCCCTCAATGTGAATCGTCCTACAATCAATCGCCACTCCTCCTCTTCATCCCCCTCCGCCTCCTCTTTGCCTCCTCTTCCTGCTCTGCCTTCGTTGCCTCTTCGTCCGCCCTCCCTGCTTCCTCCTTCGCCTCGTTATCGTTCCGTCTTCTATCGTCGCTATTTCTTCTTGATCGAAGTCGTTGACGACTGAGGGTGCAGTCGCCTCTGTGCTCTCCATTCGTATGGGTACTAGAACCACACGCGCGCACGCGTGCTTCGCGCGAGCTTCGGTTCCTGCCGATTGCGCAGTCGTTTTGTAGACCTTGCGCTGATCCACGAACCCCACGGTACCAAAAGAGAGGTTCCACAGGCAAGGGCCGCCCTTGGCGCGTGGAGTGCTGGGCCTTTGGGGGGGCAGCTTCGGGTTCGGTGGGCGGTCGCGGAGCCGTGCGAGATCCACGCGCGACGTGTCGGAAAGCTCAAAGTGTTTCCCAGAGTGCGCAGGTGACGGGATTGCCACGGCGGCCGAGGAATGCCCCAAAAAACCTCAGGGCCACCAAGCCGCAACCGCCGCCCCTGACCCGCGGCCGCCGCCGCCGTCGTGATGATCGTCGTACTGGTCGTGGCGGTGGCGGTCGTCGTCTGTGGACGTGATCGGGAGATTGCACGTTCTGGGGCGTTGTGCTTGTCACGGCCCTCCAGGAGCTTCCGAACTCTGTAGATCTGTGGAGGCCGTCGGCCGTCGTCGATCGTTCGTCGTCGTTGTGGTTGCCGTCAAACTTCTGGAGGCCGCAGGGGCTCCTCGTCGTACTGTCGTCGTCGCCGTGGTCGTCGTGGTCATGGTCGTGGTTGTTGTTGTCGCCGCCACCGTCGTCGCACTCGTCTGCGATCGAGGGGGGAAGAATGGGGGATCCAGGGTCAAAGATCGAGGTTTGTCAATTGTGATGGGACTGATTTCCACCACCACCACCATATGTTGGAGAAGGAGGAGGAGGAGAAAGAAGATTTTTTTTTCAGGGAACCCGCAAGGCGCCACATGTCTCCAGTCCGACCACCATTCACACGCAGCCTCAGCCAGCCTGCCAGGCCCGAAGCGAAACTCTGGGCACGCACAGTGAGGGAAAAACGTCTTATTCAAACCCACATAAGACGAAAGGGTATTGGCGCCGTGTGGGCAACTACCCCAAGTGGCTTCACACAACGGCACAAGAGAGGATAACTCTCCGCGCAAAGTGATTAATGCACGAGGCGGCGTGTCTGAAAGAAAACCTCCCCCAAATCCTAACAACAGAGGCGGCAGCGGGAAGCGGAAGAGGGCGAGGGGCAAGGAAAATGGAATGGACTCCAGGTCACAGCCAATGGCTCCACTGGCGGGCCAAACACTCTAGAGCAGTAGACACAGTAACCATGGAAAGCAAGGAACCTGAAACATCATGTGGGTATGTGGTATACCCGCGACGCGTCGAGGCCACGAGAGGCGTCCACCCCCGCAAAAATGGAGGGGCCGAGGCATCCCAGTGGGCGGGCGCCACGGGCTGGGCATAAGGCCCGCCTGCAAAACAAATTCAACTAAACACCGAACGACCCGCGAAGACGGAGAAGGAGGAGGAGCCAGAAGAAGGAGGGAAAATATCCACCCGCGCTCAGGAAGCCCTCAGGACACCGCGTACTCGAGATTCACGATCAGGCCTTCGGCGAAGGTGCGCGTGAACGCCTGCTCCATCGTTCGTGCTTGCGGCACATAGCAGGCCGCGGCGCTGACGGCGCTGTCCAGGGCGCTGGCGAGTGCGAGGCGTCGATGCTGGCGCTGGGGCAGTGCAGGCGCCGGTGTGGATGCTGGCGGAGGTTCCAGCTGTCATAGCAGATGCTGATCTCGATGACGTTCTGGGCGCAGATGCTGCCGTAGGCGCTATCGATGTCAGTGCTGGCGGCGACGGTGGCGTAGGCTCAGGCGTTGGTGCTGGCACAAGGGTGGTGGCTCCGATACCGATGGAGCTGGCGTCGGTGCTGATATCATTGCGCCCATCCATCGTAATCCGGCCACGTTCGTGGGACGCGCTTGGTCATGGTGGCGGCGTCGGTGCTGGCGAGGGTGCTGGTGTAGGCTCTGGCGTCGGTGCTGAGGGCGGTGCCGACGTCGGTGTCGGCGTCGGTGCTGGTGACATTGCTGGCGTATGCACCGGACTCGGCGCCGAAGTTGGCGACGGCGTCGGTGCTGACGATGGTGCTGGGCTGGCGTCAGTGCTGGCGTCAGTGCTGGAGGTGGTGCCGGCGTCGGTGTCGGTGTCGGTGCTGGCGACTGTGTGGCGGTATCCTTGTTTTGGCCCAAACCGAAAAAGTGCAGATTGCAAGTAATGAGTACGTTAGCTCCGAAGCCGACAATCCCACGAAGTGGGATAAATGATGCGACTCATCACGGCCACTTGAGGTCCAGGGACGGCGTTATCATAATCGCCGGGCAATTTGACGATGCCCTGGGAGCTGGAGTCGGAGAGGTGCGCACTGGAGTCGACGCCGGTGTCGGTGTCGGTGTCGGTGCTGGCGACTGTGTGGCGGCATCCTTGTTTGGCTCCAGCGGAAGGTGTTGGCGGCAAACTCTCCATCGTATGCGTAGGTTATCTCCGAAACCGCCAACCCCACGAAGTGGGATAAATGATGGGAGCCAGGTCCCAGGTCGGCGTTCTGATTAGCGCCGGGGAATTGCACGGTGCCCTGGAACTGGAGTCGGAGAAGTGCGCGCTGGAGTCGATGTCGGTGTCGGTGTCGGTGCCGGCGACTGCGTGGCGGTATCCTTGTGTTGGCTCCACATGAAAAGCTGCTGAATGCAAGCGCTCTTGCATGTGAGCAGGTTAGCTCCGAAACGGCCAATCCCACGAAGTGGGATAACTTATTCAAGCCATCACAGCTCCTTAAAGTCCAAGGACGGCATTC